TCTAAGTATTTAATTATAAAGGATTTTACTTTTAGTTTCTTCCAGGTTAAACTTTATTTATTAAATTCATTTTGTCATCTATGTTCGATTAAATATTAATTGTTTGATATCCTTCGGATCTGTGGTCGGACTTGATCACCCGTGGCTCTAGAATCGAGGGGTATCACAGATAACGCAACTGTAATATCTCCACTAAACTTTTCTCTCGAGCTCGATACATCCTCTGCCTCAGACTCCATCACATTTTCAACAATGGGAGGACTATCATCACTTAATTCTACCACCTCTTCTGACGACTCCTTTGATTCCTCATCCTTCGATATGCTTATCACCAAGGCCTTCCGCTTTCGTTGCCTCAAATTGGCAATAGGCTTCTCACTTCATCTGACTCTTGTACACTTCTCCCCTTGGGCTCAGGTGGAGCCTCCCTTGCTACCCCTCTATCAACTCCCAAATAGAATGATGTTGCAGGCACAAAGGCCTCCGGCACTGCGTCATATGTCACGTCGCCCATCTTCGAAGCTAGAAGCTCCATGATGGACCTCTGACCTCGCACTCTTGGCCTAGGCATGCAAAGCGAGACATCATCCTGATACACAGCCACTGGAGTGTATAGATGAAGGATCTGAAAATAGAACATCCTAAACGCTCCCAAGCAGTTTGCCCAATATCGCCTGTAACCTCCCGTGATATCGCCCCTGTGATTTCGTGAAGGTATCACGATGCTACCAACATTTTCCCCGGCCAGGTCATACAATACACTGAATCGAAAGAGAGCCTCATCCAACTCCTCATACTTCTCCCCCAACTCACAATATCTTAGGACACCCTGATCATACCCAAATTGTATAGGCACACATATGGGATTGTAAACTTTCAACACATCACCAAGCTCAAATCACCCAGGCAAATAGCCTAGTAGTACTATCAACGCAAACGTCTGCTCATCTGCGTCCCATGACTTTCTCTCTAGAATAAACACCCTTACCTCTTCCCAATAAATTCTAATATCGGCCACTCCCGCCACGTCCTCCTTATACGGCCTAAACACAAATTCTTGCTCAGAGTCGATGATCTCCACCAGCGATGCCCTGTACATGCGCCTGACCCAGCGCCAATGGAAATGGTTCATACGCTGGTAATCATTCATATAAAAACATTTGTAGGAAGCCAGTCTCCATGTAGGATACCATGGGGTATCGACCAACTGAGCGCGCGCTATCTTCTGCAATCATATCCAATCGCTAGTATAAAGTGCCCAAAAACAAAGGGCCCAAGGGGATCGCAATTCCACTTGCTATCTTTACTACAATCTGGCACCATCGACTTAATTGAGCATCATCTGGAGTACCCAGAAACACATACTTGGATAACCAACACAACACATAAGTTGTGAGCTCTGCAGGGTGCCCAATCTTGTCCCCATCGACAGATAGACGATCTTCCTTGTCTCCTTTGAACCCAGGTTACAGATCCTTGAACCAATACTGAATCCTGACCCCTGTTGTGCTCTTCCTTGCCCCCTCCATCCTTTCACTGCGCATGGCTCCCTTCACCCCAAAGAAGGACCCATAATTTTTGGTTTTTTCAAGCCCTTCATCCAATGCGCTTAGTATGGTCTTCTCTACAACATCCATCTTTAGGGCAAAGTAAAACCTCTACCCATGACATGTAGGCCAAGAAATTGGGATGTATCTTCCAGTGTAGGTATGAACTCTCCTCACTTCGCGATAAAAGTGTTTGTTGCACTTCACCATCTTGACAGTAACAGCTCTAGTCCCGGACTATCCTGGGGCACTCTCAATTTGCGAGAAAGACGCATGGCTCGCGTAACTCGTGCTTGACGCAGTCACTGCACATATATCTTATGACCAAATATATGCTCCGACCATTCCTCTCACCCCGCACAAGGGCCCACTGGTGCCTTAAACTCCATAAAGCAATAAGGGTACATCCCTTGTTCAAAGGTAAGCCGGTGCACACAGTCCGCCGGAGGTCGAGCACCTTCTTCCACGTCAACTTCCTCCTCCATCAATTGGGCCATATCACTGTCAATGTCATCCTTGGTGATATCCCCAGTGATCCAGAACCTATCCACCGGTCTAAAGAATGGAGCTCTCTTCTATTCTTCCTTCGGCGGCATCTCCGGTACTGGTTCGCCGGCTTTGCTCAACTCCTTCCTCTTGGTCATATCATCGAGCACCTTCACTGCTGTTGATGGTTGCTCCCGGTATCACCTTCGCTCTCACCCAGCACTGCTTTCTCAGAATCTCTGTTGCTTGTTTCTCCATTTGTCCACCATTTTCAAATCCTTATATAGGCACGGTTTGGGGCATTAGAGAAGACAAAGACACTGAAGGGTCACATCCAAACCATCACTAATTAATTATGAAACTACCGGAATGCGAAAAAGGCATCGGTTTCCAATGGCATCAATCAACACTCCTTTATGCACATGCCGTTTTTGTACCTTTTCAAAATTCAAAACCGCCATGTGCAGGGGGACTAAATGTGGATGTGGTTCAGCCACGTCACCTAGGGTCAAGTCAAGATGACCCCACCTTAGTACTACCCTCGAGAAAGACGACAAATGAGCAACACTTGGACAAAATCCACCTCAGCAAAGGAAGTAATAAACCAATAGGTCTTGAAACCTGACCTGCCTTAGCAATCGATCGATGGGCTTTGAACCTCAATTCGACTTAATGACAAACTGTCGATCGACGGGCCTTGAACCTCGATCCGACCTAGCCACAAACTGTCGATCGACGGGCCTTGAACCTCGATCCTACCCAGCCACAAACTGTCGATCGACGGGCCTTGAAGCTCGACCTGACCCGGCTATAAACTGTCGATTGACGGGCCTTAAACCTCGATCCGACCTAGCTACAAACTATCAATCGACGGGCTTTGAACTTCGATCCGACCCAGCCACAAACTATCGATCGACGGGCCTTGAACCTCGATCCGATATCGCCACACTGTCGATCAACGGGCCTTGATCCTCGATCCGACCCAGCCACAAACTGTCGATCGACGGGCCTTGAACCTCGATCCGACCTAGCCACAAATTGTCGATTGATGGGCTTTGAACCTTGATCTGACCTAGCCCCAAATTGTTAACCTGATGATCGATAGACTTTGGACCTTGATCTGATCTAACCTTGTGCCAAAGTAAGGAAGAGTTATTGTAGGACTCTTCAAGGTCGATAGGATGCAGAAGGGATTTTGGAATGGAGGATGGAAAATTAGTAATGTCTTGCTCACTAAGGCAAAGACCCAATTTGAGGATAAGAGCAAGAGACAGCTAGAATAGTACAACTGCCTTTACAGCTTGCCACTTTTAGATTATTTAATAGGAAGGGTACACTTGGTAACAGCCCCAGAAATGTAGGGATTAGGGTAACATGATCTGAGAAAGGCATAGCCCTGACCCGTTTTCAAGTTAAAGGCCCAACAATGTACCACCTGAAGTGACCTAGAGCTATAAAAGGAAATAGTGACACAAAAGCAAGGACAAGAGAATTGACGGCAGCTTCTTCCTTACCATTGCTCAAATTCTCTCACTGGATTGATTTTCTCTCCCTTCTTCCACCCTTTTACATTCTTCATATTGTTTAGTGGTATATTCCCAGACCTCTTTGACTATTTCAGGACTGACGGGAAACAGATATCTACAATAGCTCAGCCATAACTCGTAGCAATAGCATTAGTTCTAGCCTTAGCCATAACTTAGTTATTCTTAGCCTTATCAACTTAATCCTATTAAAATGTTGTATTCAACTTAAATCTTATTGTACAGATTCCCCAAATTTGTAATGTAGAATATATATATATATATATATATATATATATATATATATATATATATATATATATATTTCACGTCTTTCGAAAGCTCGAGCATACCTCCACAATATTACCTGTTGGGATTTATATTCCCTGGCATAGCGAATTCCTATTGGGATTAAAGTGACATATGTTCCTGACGCATCTGAAATATTTATGCTTTATATAATTGGTGAATTCAATGTATTATGTTTCGATTCATTATAGAATTGATAGTGTCCACTTGACTACAAGAGATATTTATATATGTTTGTGATGACGATCAATACATGAATATAAATAGTATTCAATTTATTAATTGAATGTTACATCATATTTTTATTTTTGCATAAAACTTGTCTCTATGTGATGAATCAAGATCTATGTATGAAAATCTCTCAAAAAGTTTTTAAAACTTGCACGTTTCCTAACATTATCTCTATTCAAACACTCAACCTTCCCTTTGCAGATATACCATTTGGGCTAATGCCCATTGGTGAGATGGTTGTTAATGATATGAGTTTCGTGTTATTCTCATTTCAATTTGCTGTTGTTACCCATTTCATTATCAAACTTGTTTGTTTTCAAAGTCGTCGTTCTAGAGGCCTAGAAAATATTAGGGGAAGGGTCATTCCTTATTTCCCAGCATTTTTTTGCTAACCAGACTGATTGTGTCTATTTAGACCAATCACGTTAATATAAGGATAGTTTGGTTCTTCTGAGAATGTGACTCTAGCACGCCCATGTAAAAATGAATGGAACAATTTTGGAACACGTTAGGCCACTATGTCTATTGAAGATTTAATGGAGGAAAAATCTCAGGAAACAACAACAGTTACCGGTTAATAAAATCTTTCAATAGTGTCAAATACTTCAATCTCATGTCAATCACCAGATCAAGATCCCAAAATCTACCATAATAAGACCCCCGGCGTGAAGGTGAGTCTAGCAATCATAAGCCAATTTGACCTGGCACTAAAAATGGATTTACAGAGTCCAACGAAAGATACAACGCATAAGAGGCTCATGGTGCCTTTGAGCCTCACCATAAGTCTGCCATACACTTAAACAACTCCCCCAACTTTGTCATCGAGGTTCGAACAACATCAGAATAGACCAGTTAGCTGTTTAGGCTGAACCAACACCTATTATGCAGCAACCTGTGGCATCACCTAATTGGTCGCCAATAGTTTACACTTGGACTCGAGAGCCAGCATAGATGCAGCCGCAACAACAAATGTAGGCTCAGCATCAGCCTCAGGTAGTTCCTCAGCCTGCTCAGGTGCTGAATGATAAGAACTTCAATTAATCAACCACTACTAAATAAACAACATATTGGAATGGGTATGAGCAATTTCATTGGAGACCCCAAATCCCATCTTTCAGCCTCACCTACTGTTGGAAACGGGGGCATTAAAAACATAAATTTTGAATGAGATTTGGAATAGATTCCGCTAAGAATTTTTTGCGGATCTCTAGACGAGCGTGTTTCTCTCCGCAAGAAGATGAACGTGGTATATTTACTTTCTTAAATCCGTTTCCGGGTGAATGAGAAATTAGCTCCAAAGTATGGTGTTTTGATAAGCCTAAACGGGTATGCAAAATGTGGGAAGTGTTTGTCCCACATGGAAAAAATGTTGAAACAAATTGAAATTTAAATAAGCTGAGTTTAGGATTTGGGCTTGGGCTTGGGCTTGGGCCTAATTGTAAAGTCCAGATTATTCTTTTTTAGAATTTTGGATTGGGCCTAATTTTGGGCTGGGCTTATTTAAATGGGTTTCACAAATGGGTGGGTTTTTTGGGTGGTTGGTTTTTTTAATTAAAAAATTACTTTTTAGTTTTTGTAAAAGGTTACACCTTTTAAATTAAAAAACCATATTTTAGTTTTTATAAAAGGTTACACCTTTTAAATTAAAAAACCATATTTTAGTTTTTCTAAAGGGTTATACCTTTTAAATTAAAAAATCACTTTCTAGTTTTTTTTTCGAAGGGTTACACCTTTTTTTTTTAACCATCATAACCCATGGTTGCACCCACTCGAAAAGGCACAATGCAACCTATTGGAATAGATGTGTCTATTGGTGAACAGACACCATGTGAACCATTGCAACCTATTTGAATAGATGTGTCTAGTGGTGAACAGGCACTATGTGAACCATTGCAACCTATTGCAATGGTTGTGTCTAATAATAAAGAGATACACCCAATCCGGAAAGACATTTCTGTTTCTATAAATACCCCCTTTGGATCATTTGCAAGTGATTCATTTTCATTTTCTTCTATCTCTCTCTCTAGACTTGAACCCAACCTAAGTGAGTTCAAACCATAGGTTAAGTGGTCTGAACCACTTAGAACTTAATTCAATTTCATCGAGCCATATTAAGATTGGTCCGAGCCATTTGGTTTGGATTACACACAATTCAGCATTTATATAGTATAGATGCATTTTTGAGTCAGAGAGAGTATTACACGGAGGAGGTTCGCCGTATCCACGAGTTTGTAGTGCTGCTACTGGTGGATGTAGACCGTTGTACTCTGGGAGATAGACGTCACTGAGTCCGTAAGCACCATAGCGGGGTGAATCTGTTTTAAGGACATAGTATCCAATACTAGCCTCGATCCAGGTTCTTTATTTATTATTATTTTTTTTCATGCTTTATATACACACATATGATCCAAATAAGAGAGAAAAAAAAATGGTTAATTTTGTCTAATATGTTAAGTTTTCGATACTTCACAAAATTAGCAGAAACTACAACTAATGATCTAAGTTTATTTATTTTTTTAATTAATGAACTTCGTAGTCCGTACAATTTTACATATCTGTGGCGGTAAAAACCCCTCCAGTCAGGATATATAATCATTGATCAGGCCCTCAGGGTCCTCCAAGATATGAGTCCACGTCCTTACAGATCAAAAAACAAAACATTTCTGCCCTTGGATAATCGAAACTACACAAACCCACCACAAAAGACAAACAAAACTGGACTGTCCGCAAATAATGAATTATATGCCCTCGCATAGCAAATTCCTGTTTGGATTAAAGTGACATATGTTCCTGAAGTTTCTGAAATATTTATGTTTTATACAATTGGGAATTCAATGTATTATATTTCGATTCATTATAGAATTGATAGTGTCCATTTGATTACAAGAGATATTTATATATATGTATGTGATGGCAATCAATACATGATATATAAATAGTAATCATAAATGGTTCATAGTCGGTAATTATGGATAGACTCATAATTAATTAAGATTTGAACTGGATCGCGTTAGGTTGAGATATATTGCGAGAGCCGTCGTATGCAATTACTCCCTATCACCGTCATGGCATTTGACTCTTAAGCATGAGAAAATTATAGACTCTTTTATTAATTAATAATTACTTTGATTTGTTCGGAGGATTCTTCGGGATCCTTAGACCGACACTTTGGGTAGTTATGTAATTAATAATTAGAGAGTTATATTTTCAATATTTGCATCATTGCTACCTGTATTTATTTTGTATTGATTATGGTTGATCACAAAGTAAATTCGAAGGCATTCGTGTGTTTTTAGACAAAATGATTTATTATATATTTATTTATTTAAATTATTATTTTTGTCAAACAAATGTTTTATTGTGATCGAGTCAGAAATAATCAAAGGTACCAAAATAAATATATTAATTAAGTAGTCGGATTGATAGCTTTATTTATCCGATAACTAATTATGCATAGAGGGGTCAAAGTGCAATATTGACTTAGAGGTTATTTATTATTTAATTGGAGTTCAATTAATTTCTTTTAGTGGAGTAGAAATTAATTTATGAATTAATTGAATTGGGTCAACGAACCGGGTCAATTATTAATTCATTGTAGCCAATAAAATAATAGGCCCAATGGATTCTCACTCATAGCCCAACTTGATATTGGAATCATATTAGATTTGAGACATGTGAATTAGAGATTGAGCAGGATTAGTTCTTTCCTTTTCTTTACCTTTATGTTGCCTATAAATATACATGGTCTATGTAGATTTTAGGGGTTATTTTTAGGAGAAGGAAAAAGGAATTTATTTTCTCTCTCTAGAAAATTAGGATTTATGTTCTCATCTAATGGAGGCTCCCACAAGCCTAGTTTTTCAAGGTCATTCATGGAGGCTTATGAGCGATTCCTAAAGGCAAAACAATTACCAAGAAGATGGAGATCCAAGGAGAAGGTGTAATACCCCTAATTTTAAAAAGGATATTCCTGATATTTAATGGTATTTAATTTATTATTTAAGTGCATTTTATTTGATTATGTGTCATTATTTTTTTTTATTAGGTGCTTAATTGTTTTCTTTTGTGATGATTTAATTTATTTAAATGATATTTATTTTTAGTTATTTGATTGGAATTACTTGTTAGTGTTTTAATTATTTAATTGGCATTAATGGTTTAAGTGTAATTGGTTTAGTTATTTGATTGGAATTACTTGTTAGTGTTTTAATTATTTAATTGGCATTAATGGTTTAAGTGTAATTGGTTTAATTATTCTATGTGTGTTTTATTTTATGTGTGTCTTATTTGGTTTAATTGGGTTTACTAATTATTATTTTGTTCAATTAGATTATTTGTTAAGTATTTAATGGTGAATAGGGTAATTAGGTAAATACATCTAACTAGGGTTTTAATTACAGTTTAAATTAGGGTTTTATATTATAGCCGTCGTAGGTTTCTACGTTAATTGGATGGGCCGGTTAGGATTGTGAGTTGGACTTAAATGAACCTAGGGTTTAGGAAAACTCTATAAGTATAAGGTAGATGTCTGTGTAGGGTTTTTTTAAAACAAAGCACACGTTTTGTGGAAGTGGAGAAGGAAAAACGCAATTTTTCACATTCTGCCAAGGTTTGATCAAAGTTCGATCCCACTTCGTCCGTGGTCCGATCGAGCTGAATTTTCGAGGAGAGGTTCATGACTCAATGACGCACAATCTGAACGGTGGAGATCAGAGTTTGACCTCGGGAACAGTGATTTGTACTCGTGAACAGTAACCGGGTCGCACAGGTTTTTTCCATTCTGCCCAGATTTCATCAAACATCCGATCCCACTTCGTCCGCGGTCCGATCGAGCTGAATTTTGGAAGAGAGGTTCATGACTCAGTTACGCACAATCTGAATGGTGGAGATCAGAGTTTGACCTTTGGAACAGTGATTCGTACTCGTAAACAGTAACCGGGTCGCACAGGTTTTTTCCATTCTGCCCAGATTTCATCAAACATCCGATCCCGCTTCGTCCATAGTCCGATCGAGGTGAAATTTAGAGGATAGGTTCATGACTCAATGCCGCACAATCTGAATGGTGGAGATCAGATTTTGAGTTCGAGAATAGTGTTTCGTACCCGTGAACAGTAACCGAGTTTTGGAACTCGCCGGGATTTTTTTTAAGAAGACGACGTTGAAACTTTGAACAAAAGTTTCTGAGGCAAGATTCTATCCTTACTCTTTCCCTTAGGCTTCATACTCTTTGCACTCTTAAATGATTCCAGGATTAATGAAGATTAAACCAAACAAAAATGATATCTGTTTTGTTATGAAACTGGTAGTTACAGTAGTGTTGTATTCCTTATGGTTCGTATAGAAAGGGTACTGACGTCTGTCTTTTCGTGTTAACAGATGGTTAACGCTAGAAATGGACAGAACATGCAAGGAACTAGGAAGGAAAGGAAAACGGCACGTAGGCAACAATATCTCCTACGGCGTCAGCAAATGGAGGAAGAGCAGCAAAGGCTTGGGTTTCAAGATGACATGGATCAGTTTCAGGAGGAACAGGAGAATGTTCAACAGACTCTGGACCAGGTCAGAGATCCAGAGATTCCTCCTCACCTCAATGACCTCGTTGCTCGGGCTATAGAGGCTGGGGTAATAGCTGCACTTCGGAATCAGCCTCTGGTACAGCCGGCACCTGTACCAGCACCAGTGGTTCAGACGGATTCTTGGGGAAAAGCTAGGAGCTCTTTCACAAAGGGGAGTCCACCTGTGTTCTCAGGATCAACCGATGCAAGAGCAGCTCACCAGTGGAAATAGGACATTGAGCGTCATCTTCGTTTGGTTCAGTGCACGGAGGTTCAGAAGCAGATGTTTGCTACTTTCAAGCTAGTTGGGGATGTACTACAGTGGTGGGAGTCAGTTACTACCTCAGAGGAGAGGATGACATTGTCTTATGATGAGTTCAGTGCTCGCTTTGATGAGAAATATTTTCCCTATACAGTCAGGGCAGCTATGAAGACTGAGTTTCTAAGTCTG